TAAGCATAGTAGTATTAAGAAAAGTATTAAAATGCTTGAGATTCCCAGCAAAGTTACTAAATTTTATCATAAATCTGTATGAAAATAGAAAATTGAGTATTATAACAGAGTATAGCAGTACAGAATTTCTTAAAGCAGGAGATGAAATAAACCAAGATGAGGTCTTGTCACTCTTGGTTTGGAGAATTTTTTATAATCCACTGTTATATAGAGTACAAGAGACTAAGCTGGGTTACAAAATGCAGGACAATATTTTAGACAATAACAGAAAATCTGAGGGCGAAAAGCTACATATAGGAGTTTTAGCATATACAGATAACACAATATGAGTAACACATAATCAAAAAAGTATGCAAGAAATAATTAATATATTAAATAAGTTTTATGAACTTAATAATATTGAAATAAATCTGACCAAGACTAAATAGTAGTAGTAAAGTCAGAAGCTAAAAGAATTGCTAATGATTTATTTGTATAAGCTGGTAATCCTAGAATGAAAATTTGGGCTAAAAATTTAAAAGAGGTGACATGTTTTTTAAGTGTTTGGATCTCAGTTAAAAATTAGTAAAAATCAGATCTACACAGAGCAAAAGCAGAAGTAAGCAAAATAACAGGCTTACTCAAATACAAGAGAATGTTGCTTAGTCAAATAATATATGGTTCTCATGCTCATACTAGAATATAGACTTATACTTTCATATTTAAACAAAGCTCAATGTGACAAAATATATCAACCTATGGTTTATCTTACAAAGTGGAAGATGTCGATACTATTCACAGCAGCAAATGCGATAACAAAATGCCCAGAAATAGTAAATTTCAAAAGCTTGTAGAATAGATATATAGAGCACTATCTTTCAGAGTTATTAGTAAAATTAAATACAGTTGGGCTCTGGAAAAATTGATAGTAACAAGATTGAAACAAGAACAGTTAAAAGCAGGCTTAACAAAATGCATTTTAATAGATCTTAAGCTTTTGGGTAATAGAAAATTAAACTTAAGAAATTTGGATATACAGATACTACAACAAGCAAAATTGTTAGACTTTCTAATAGAAGAAAATGATTTTACAAAGAGTTAAAATCAAAATTTGTCTCAAACAACAAACAATCTTGAAATTACAAAAATTTTAGAAAAAAAGCAGATCTCATATAAAAAATTAAATGCAAGTAGAATGAGATTATGTTTGACATCACAGCTTCTAACAAAAAATAGAGATACACTATATATGAAAACAATTAAAATTGGTACATAACATAAATCTAAAAGAAAAAAAAGCAAAATGGTTTGACAAGTTAGAGAAAGAAATGTTTAAAGATCCAATAACAAAAAAAGTTAAATCAAAGTATAATCTTGAGACAAATAATTCAAATACATCCAAAATAGTACTAGAAAAAGTTAAAAAAGACATAAAAATAAAAGAATGGGTTTTATAGAAGGATAAAGATCATCTGCATATCAAAATTAGTAGAGTTAAAGAAAAAATAAATATGTAAAGATAGAAAATTTTATTGAAATAGAAACATTACAATGAGTGTTTGGGCAAAAAGTATTAAAAAGTGTTAAAAGTTAGATACCTATTTCAATAAAATGTAGAAAACTAAGAAATATATCAAACTTAGTGCAAAAAACAGAAATTGGCCTACAAATAATCTTTAGTATACACTCTTTAGAAAAAACAATCAAGAAAGACACAGAGAAAATAAGAGTAATTGCATACGAGGTACAAGAAATTAAGAAAAGAGAATTGTTGGTGCTAGACTGTGTAAAATAGAAAATTATGTTTAATAAATAGAATAGTTGAAAATTGCTTATTTAGATGTTGCTTAATAGAGATTTTAAATTAAAACAAAACTTTAGATAGCTTAGTTTTTTATACAGATAGCTCATTTGTATTTTTAGAAAGCAAATCCAAAATGAAAATAAGATATGGATTAGTAAAAGTTACAAAAGAAGGCTACATTTTACGTCAAGTAGCATGTGAAACTAAAAAGTAGTTTTTATCAACAAGAGCAAAGCTAGTAGCAATTTTGGTAGCACTTTTAATAACATCTAAAGAAAAAGAAGTAGAAAGAAAAACAGATAGTAGTGCAGCTATCTTTGCAATCAAAAAAGGGCTCGAAGCAAATAAAGCAAGAGCTTAATTGATGATCTGCTACTTAACAGAAGTATAATTATAGTATAACATAATGCAGTTTACTATATAAATCTAATATAGCTTGAATATAAAAAACTTCTAACTTATGCCTAAGAAAAACTTTTTTTATACTAGTTAATTAGCTTTGTTAATTAATTAAAAGTTGTAGTACTTGTTTTTGCAGTTCTAATGGCAGTTAAATCATTTAAATCAGGCCTTGTAGATGCCAAGATATCTTTAAAAAATATTTCTTTAACTATATAAACTTCTTTGTAATTGTTTTAAAGAAGTTTGTATAGTTAAAGAAAAGTTTTTTTAAAGATATCTTGGCATTCACTAAGCTGATTTGGATGATTTAACTACCATTAGAACTGCAAAGATGAGCTCTACAACTTTCAATTAAGTGACAAAACCTTAGACAAATGGTAGAAATTTTTATATTCATGTTACACTATAATTATACTTCTGTTGAGTAGCAGACTATCAATTAATTTTATATTTCATAAAAATTTAAGAGAAGATACTTAATTTTGGACATTTTGATTAAAATATTTAAAATTAAGCATCTTTTTTTTAAATTTTTAAGAAATATAAAATTAAATATACCAAAATAATATATTTTTATATGCTAAACAAGGTTTGTTTTTTTTTCTTTTTTAATTTAGCAATTCTGTCTTTATTGTTACTAGAAGTAGAGTATAAACCAGTATATAAAGTATTTAAACAAAAGCCTACAATTAGCTAAATGTCTTCAAACTTTTTATTTTTACAATAAAGACTCACTTGACTGCTTATAATGGTGCTTAGATGCGATTTGCCACAGCAATAATTCACTTATCTTTGGTATCTAACTTACTAGATGACTTTCCAAAAAAATTATAGAAAGCTTATTGCTAGCTTTGTCAAACAAAGTTTGTTAATATATAAAGTTATTATATATCAATTAGTAAAATTTTGAGAATTATAATATTTTATACAGTCGACCCTCTCAGAATCAGTATACATAGTGGACAGGTTTTGTATCAGTTTTGAGAGGTTATCAGATTTGAAAATATAGCAAGCTATTAGATTTATAGGACTTGGTAGACTAATTTTTTATTGGTTTTGACAGATTATCAGTTTTGACAGGATTGGTTTTGAGAGAGTCAACTGTATCTATAACTATATAATAAAAAAATTTGTGTATAATGTAAAAACTTTTTCTATATATAAAAAATTTTATAATATTAATAAAGTTTATAACAATAATGCATAATCTATTTTTATATACAAACAAATCCAATTATTAAAAAAAAATTGTATAATATTATTATTTTGAAAATTTTTATATATAAAAACTATATTTTGGTATTTTGTATAATGATAATGTTTAGACTACTAATATAAATAATTTTATTAAATTGTGTAATATTCAATCTGTTATTCTGATTTGTCAATAAATTCTTTAAATTTATACAAGAAGTTATTAAGTAAAGATATTTTTAAAATCTAAATAAAGTTGTAGAGAGGATAATTCTGAGTCCAATAGTGGTTAGATCATCAAAATTGGCCTAGTAGTTCTTGAGATATCTTGGGTTAAAGATGCAAACATAGAGATCAACAAAGTTACTATTACACAAAGTATTGCTTTTGTTAATCCTTATGTTTAGATCTTTAATTCTACATATCTCAATAACTACTGGCTTGATTTTAATGATCTAACCACTATTTGACTTGGAATTATTTTCTCTACAACTTTACTTAAATTTTGAAAATATTCTTACTTTAATAACTTCTTGCATAAACTTAAAAAACTATAATTTGATCCACTTTGGGTTCAAAGTGAATCTATTTTGAGTTCAACATAACCTACTTTGAGTTCAAAATATATAAAAAGTAGTTTTTTGTAATTATCTTGACAACTAGCAATTCAATATAGATGAACTTTTTTTTAAATAAAAGCTCTTAGTGAGGTGTATTCAATAAAAAATTTTATTTAATTCTAATTACTAGATTTTAAAATATTTAAGAATCAATAAATTTTTAGATTTAATAAATTAAATTAAAATTAAACAAAACCAAATTATAATCTATATCTATAAGGGCAGTAACAAATATTATGTAATATCCTGGGGGAGAGGGTCAAAAAAATTTTTATATAAGACTAATTATACAATTTGATTGGCTAATTGGTCTTATGTAGGGGTAGCTCTATGATAAAATAATATTATATAATATATGTTACTGCTCTAACTATATACTAAAAAATTTGTATATAATAATAACATTTAGATTAACAATATAAATAATTAAATTGTGCAATGATAACTATATATATTTAAAAAATTTGGTTAAATCGTTATATAACTACAAATCTTTTTGACTATTTATAGCAAAATGCATAATATTTATTTGTGTTTGACAAATACTGTATAATAATTCCTTTGTTTAAGAAAGATCCAAATAAAAAACTCATTTCTGATCTAAAAGTGTGAATGTTATATATTCTTTAGTTTTAAAATTATTGCTTTAATTAATTTATTGTTCTGTGCTCAAGATTTCCCCATGGTATAAAAGGTAATCAATGCTTTATATTTGTGCGAACTTTTTTCTCATAATACAAAATCTGCACTCTTTATTTATTCATTAATTTATAATTTATTTCTATGCATTTCAAATTGCAGGTAAGACTGTTCTGATCTAAAAGCATGAGTGTTATATATTTTTTAGTTTTAAAATTATTGCTTTAATTAATTAATTTATTGTTCTGTGCTCAAGATTTCCTCATGATATAAAAGGTAATCAATACTTTATATTTATGCGAACTTTTTTTCTGTAAAACAAAATCTGCACTCTTTATTTATTCATTAATTTATTTATTTCTATGCATTTCAAATTGCAGGTAAGACCATTTACACTCTATAACATATATTGTATGTGTTAATTCAGATTTTATTGTTTTAATTTAGTGTGTCAGATTCTGCTCTAAATTCCTGATATCTAAAATCCCAGTAGCCTATAATCTTGATACACATAATTTTAACAGGAACAGAAACCCAACAAGTCAAAATCTCAACAAGTCAAAATATCAACAATAAAAAAATCTCGACAGAAATGAAATCGTTATATTCTTGAAGCAGATGAAGAGCCTGATGCAATACCTGAATTAATTAGTGCTTATATTTTTATGCATCATATAGTAAGTGCTTTATGTTATGTCTATAAGTATAATAAATACTTTAAAACAAGTATGAAATTTTAAATTTGTCAGAAGCGAATTTGCATCACCCATAGGTTCACTAATTTTTTATATATGTTGTAAGTAGAAACAGAATTAAGTAGATTTGGAATTTTATAGTTAAATTAAGGTTAGGTATAATGAAATGGTTTTTTTTTATATAAAATTCCAAATTCATTTAAATTTTGTTTCTACCTACAATATATACAAATGAACAAAACTGACAAGACTATATATGAGAATGTTGATACTGTGAATAATATACAGGATCAACTACAAACTAATAGTAATAATCTAAATTTACTATGTCCTGTTAACAGAAATTTCATGTTAGCTATAAATGATGATGAAATTCCAATGTTGCGAGATTATCATGACAAGATGGTTCATCAGATGGAAGTGAAAAAAACTATTCTCGAAGATGGTGCTGTAGTTAAAGAGGCAGGTGAAGTTAAAGAAGAGGATAGCGTCGAGAAAATGTGTAAAGTTTTTAATGATGATAATAGTGTTGATAAGAATATGGCTGATATAGTAGCAAGTAATGAGGAATATTATCACATTCTCAACAGAAACAGGAAGATAAATGTGACAATATTCCAATACTGGACAATGGTGAAGATATGAAAGATGTTTTTTTAGAGAAAAGGAAACATGATGATGACGAAGATGATAATGCCGATGAGAAAGAACCATTGCACAAGAAACAATCAAATAAGTATAATTAAAATTTATTATTCTATTATACTTGAGAATATTTAATTTTATTTTATTAACTAATCGAGTTTACTATTTAATTTATTTTGATGAATATGATGAAAATTTTTAATCTAAGCATTTTTACAATCCGGCTTAGTTGAAAGAGGTGGTGAGTGGTTATTTAAGTTATAGATATAATTTTCTTTACTTATAATAGGAACAAATAATATACAATAATATCTCTACTTTTTATCTACTATCAATTCAATAAACTACGGCTTGGTTTTTCCTTTTGTATTTCAAGCCAGAACACAACAACCATAGTACATTGGGAGTACTGTATATATAAGGGTGTAGTTTTAGTTTATGAAGAGAGAAACGATGTATAATAGTAATATAATCTGATATATTGATTTTATGTTAATAAAGAGAAATCTATAACCTGTAATTATATTTGTTAGTTTATTGATTTAAACTATTTGGCTTTAATTATTATTTTGTTTATGATTGAAGCTAAATTAGTCCAAGATCCTATAAAGCTTTCTTCTGCTTATCACACTAGCCAACATTAAGCCGCACAAATTCAACAACTTTTCTGATACAATATTATTGCTATTTTTAGAAGCATATTCCTATTTAGTTTTGATATCTGTCGTGGCTACATAAGTATTTACCGGCGAAACAAGGCCATACGCCTGTAATTCAATAAAAATGGGTTTCATGATTCAGTATTTTATTTTATAGAAGTGAAAGGTAAAAACTTTACTTTAATTTTTTCTCGATCCTTATATACATAGAATTGACTAAATTATTAACATCATAGTTGATCATATAATAATTTAACTATTCCAATTATCTTATAATTTGTTTATAGATTAATTTGGCTTCATGCGCTTTGACCGATACATAATTTTCCTGACTGACCTGATTATAATTAACTCGTGATTTAATCGATCATACACGTGATCACGATTCTATATGTAAAACCTTTTAAGTGCTATCTAAGAATAGTTTTTTTTTATACTATATTATCCTTTTTCAATTAAACTTCTCTTCTACATTTATTTCCCACACTATATATCTCAGACTCCAACTTTGTTGTATGGCCGATTTTGACCAGCAAAAGTTAACAATATTACTCTACTCTTATGGATTGTCTTTGATTATAAAGCATTTTGGCTAAATTCAACAAACAACTTTTTGGCTTTTTTCAAATGAGTAACAAATAATACAACACCTAAATAAAATCTTATAGAAAGATTTTTGCAGCTTTAATTTTACAAAAAAGAAGTATCATATAGGTAGAAATTTTTAGTAGAGTGTTGTGACTATATAAAATTAGGTGATTATACAGATCAATTTTTATAAGTAATAAATCAGTTTTAGATTATTCTGTGTTATTTTTAGCTAATCTGCTCAGTATACTGCTTATAAAAACTGATAAGTAACTGATAAGTAACTCATAAACAGGTTTACAATAACCAACAAATAATCACTTTTAATATTAGTAATCACACTGTTATCATATATATTATTGGCTCAAATTCTATTTAATCTTATTATTCAACTTATTAAATAATTACAAAATTGAAGATTTTTGCTCATATGTATAGAAAGGTTTATTAGAGTTGTAGGACTCTACTATTAAAATTAACATAACAATAACTATATTTAAAAAGTCACCATTATGCTAACTTCTCTAAAACCAAAAATGATTTTTAATAGTTAAGTTTTACAACCCTAATGAACCTTTTTATATACTTTTTTTTTGTTTATTCTTCGTAGTTTTATATTTTTTAAAAGTACTTTAAACTGTATAAATAATGTAAAATTAAATTGATTTAAACTGCCAATCATGCAAAAGTCTTTCTATAATATAAAATAGGGAAATGTTGATATGTCACAAAATCATTATACAATTAATAAAAATTTTTTTATATACTTTTTTGGAAGCCTTACTTAACTTATTTTTTATATGAATATTGAAAATGGTTAAACAAACATGAAGCTCTCACTTTGCTTACAACATATTTTTTGAATCCCCTCGAATCAAGTATTTTGTAGATTAGCATAGCATAGGTAGGCAGATTAGTATAGTATAGGCTGATTTTTAAATCTATATGAACCAGGTATTATATATATAAACATTAGTTTCTATAATTTTGCAGATCTGTATAGTACATGGGAGGGAGTCAGTAGAAATAGAACAAATCTATCTAATAAATTTGTTCCATTTTTATTGACTCCTTTCTATATTTTTAAAAATTGGCCTGTACTATACTGATCTGCTCATCTATACTATACTGATTTGCAAAATACTTCATAGTTTCTACAAATTTTGCAATTTGATTGGTTGACTAATCCTGTAGTAATATTTTGACTAACCAATACAATGGAGAATGAAAATCATATCTATACATTTTCTTCTGTTTATAAAACCAAATAACTTATATAATTGAACTTTTTTAAATTAGTATTGTGATTATATGAAGTAATATACATTTTAACACAAGACTACTATAATATGATAGCATGTGCTTCTGATATAATTTAGTAGATTTTAGTATTTTTTTACATTAATATAAAATATATAGAACTAAAACTTCTATAAATAAAGAAGAATTCCAGTTTGTTGTAAAGTAGCATAGTTATAATATTAAATCCTAACTACAGTATATATTATTAATATACCTTTGTAAAAAAAAATTTTTAGTTGTAAAATTCAAATATAATTTGATTTAGCAAGTTTGAAGTTGAATAATATTAGATAGATATTTTTTAAAATAGATATCTATTTGATATTCATTTAAATATCTAAATTTAATACTAAATAATAAGTATAAATTTTATTTTTGATTTTAAGCTTTGCTTTACAGTATATAGGTTATAATATAATTAAAGCTTACTTAGATATTGAGATAAGAATAATTAGTTATTTATAATTTACTTATTCTTTAAACTTTATATCTATATTATTTATAACAAATAATAATAATTTTTATATATTTATATCTTAGTTATAATCTTATTATTTTGTGTTTAATAATAATTATACTAACAACATCTATTTAAACTATATTTTTTAATTTTGTTTAAAATTTTATTGCAAAGTAATTAATAACTTAATTAGTAATTGTTATATTATTATACTAAATTTTTAACTTCTATATTTAAATTTATTTTATTAAAGCTTTTAATATTATTATTTATTCATGTATAATTATTTGTTTTTTAGATAATGGTATTATCTTCCAGTAATACTGTATTATCAGAAGAACATTGAAAGCAACTTAATCATAATCACAAAAACAGTTTAGAAATAAGAATAGAGAAACTATTTTACACTTATTTGATGATATTTTTAAAGAGCTTCAATACTTACTTAATACCAAAGTTCTTATAGTTGTAGTTGAGTTTAGTAAAACTCCTATTATAGATACTGATTCTGGTTCTGATTCTGATGACCTTTCATATTTACTTAATACTAAAGTTCTTACAATTACTAATCTTGAGTTTAACTAATACTCAAAGTAATCCAAGTTCTTACTGTAATAAAATCAAATATCATAATATAGGTAGAATGGATTAGACCTGTTGACATTGTAAAGCTAAGTTTTAGATGATTAAAAAAGATCAAAATAGTGGGTATGCTGCTCCAAAATTTCCTCTTTGTAGTAGTGACAAAAGGGGGTTTTGGGTCAGAATTTCGTAATTGTATCCAGAATAGGTTCCTTACCCCTTTACAAACCTTTTTAGATATGTTTAATCATATATAGAATTCAAGCTCTAAAGTATGCTAGAGCCAAATCCTGTTAACTTACCTCCTTATACCTAAATTTGGGCTTCCATTAT